TTTCTTCTGACTAGTGATAAAGACAGATGCCTCCCTGGAGAGGAGGCTCTCACACCTCCTGGCAATGTCCAGGCTCCTTCAGAAAACCCAGGAAGAGAGGAGCAGAGTCACCCACCCTAACATGCTCCCCCAACCTCCGGGGCACGTGCTTCCCCAGGAACCGTCCCTTGCCCGCCTCTGAGTGAGTGATGCCATGAACACAGATGATCTTATTGACAAGTCACAATGACCTTTGATACTTTCAGAAACTTGGTATCAACAAGAGACCAGGCCAAAGGATCTGGGAGCTCAAGAAAGCCATCCTGACTCCAACCCTACAAGGTTCCACTCAAGTTTCATCACTTCTACTGCCCATCTCCCACTGTCTTTGCTCAGAAAGAAACAGATCACATCCTCAGATACAAAGAACAACCCTGACTGATCTTGAGTGGCCTCAGCCTGCAGCAGCTTGAAGCAGGACTTTGGTTCCCAGCCAGAGACTGAGGTCAGGTCTCAATCCTAACCACTAAAAAAGATCCTGATGCTGGGAAAGATTGAGGGCAGGAGGAGAAGGGGGCAACAGAGGATAAGATGGTTGGATGGCATCATCAACTCAATGGACATAATCTGAGCAAACTCTAGGAGGCAGTGAAGGATAGGCATGCTGCAGTCCAGGGGTGTCAAAGAGTTGGACTGAACAACAAGACCAGTGGTCAGTGACATGGTCCTGGCCTTTCGGCTTTGCAGAAAAGAATTCCCACAAAGACAGAAAATAGTGAAACAAAGTATTTATTAGGAGGAAAAACAGAGTACAGTATGTGTGGATATACACAAGGGCAGGCTCAGAGGGAGAGTGTCCTTGTGGTAGTTTGAATCACTTTTATGGGGCATTTCTTCCAGGTTTCCTTTGACCAGTCATGCTTTGCCTGGTTCTGAGGCTGCACTGGTTTAGTTCAGGGTCCTCCCACATGTGCATGTGCATCTCTTGGTCAAGATGGATTCTAGTGCAGATGACCGTAGGTAGATAGACATCACTTACTATGAGGTGATGCCCCCTCCTTTTTTGACCTCAAAGGAGCCTTTCTGCGCATGTGTAGTTGGGGAGGTCTCCTTAACTTCAAGTATGAGGATGATGTGGTCTTTTATCTCTTATCTGGCAGGGCCCAGCCTCCTCCATTATCTTCCTTGTAGGGAGTTTCTGCTATTATAATGGTGTCCCCTGTGGCTCAGAAGTAAAGAATCCACCTGCAAGTCAGGAGCCACAGGAGACATGGGTTCAATCCCTGGATCAGGAAGATTCCCTGGGGAAGGGCACAGCAACCCACTCCAGTATTCTTGCCTGGAGAGTCCTACGGACAGAGGAGCCTGGCTGTCTATAGTTCATAGGGTTTCAGAGAGTCAGACATGACTGAAGCAACTTAGCACACATGCACAAACTGTTATTATGAAGTTTTTGTCCATAGAGAAGAAACTGTTCAGCTGGGGGCCCATCTATCTCCTGCCTCATGACCAACGAAACACCTGGGCCTTCCCCTACCCTGCCAGACCTTAGGCCAAGAAACACAGAGCTGGTGTGTTTGGGTCAAGCTGAGCAGCAGCACTGGGGCAGAGGTCTCCAGATTGAATCCGGATGCAGCATGAATACTGGTAGCACCCAGGGGCCACGGCTCTGCCTTTCAGCCCCTTCCCTGATGAACTCCCTGGGGAGGGCCTGCTCTCTCACAGCTGGTGTGACTTTCAGACAATATTTTGGTTACTTTCTCTGTTTTGTCTCTTTCTGTTGATGTCACCAACTTGCGGAAGGAAGTGGCCAGATCACAGCAGAACTGTTGAGTGTCCAATACATTGTGGCCCCAAAGACAGTTAAAAATAATTTCAAAGCCTTTTTATATTCAGTGCCTCCCCCCACCCGGGGCCTGTTTATCGCTCTCTCCATTTTTGAGATGCAGAAAGAAATTCAGAGAGATTAAGCAACTAACCCAAGGTCACACAGATATAGATAAGCAGCACTGGGCGGGGGCGGGGGGACAGTAAAGGCTGGGGAGGCGGCAGCATGCTGAAACACTGAGGTCCATCTCCAAGGCTTTGCTAGTGGGAAAGAGGTATAAGCGTCTCCCAGTCCAAGGGGCCTTTCCCTGGGGCTTCAATTCAACAAGCATGTATCAGGAGCCAGGAGATCCTGAGAGATGCCAGAATATGCTGTGGTTTTGCAGGATCCTCTATGACCCACCTCCCAGAATTTTAGAAACAAAAGCAAAAATAAACAAATGGGACCTAATGAAACTTAAAAGCTTTTGCACAACAAAGGAAACTATAAGCAAGGTGAAAAGACAGCCCTCAGATTGGGAGAAAATAATAGCAAACGAAGCAACAGACAAAGGATTAATCTCAAAAATATACAAGCAACTCCTCCAGCTCAACTCCAGAAAAATAAATGACCCAATCAAAAAATGGGCCAAAGAACTCAACAGACATTTCTCCAAGGAAGACATACAGATGGCTAACAAACACATGAAAAGATGCTCAACATCACTCATTATCAGAGAAATGCAAATCAAAACCACAATGAGGTACCATTACACGCCAGTCAGGATGGCTGCTATCCAAAAGTCTACAAGCAATAAATGCTGGAGAGGGTGTGGAGAAAAGGGAACCCTCTTACACTGTTGGTGGGAATGCAAATTAGTACAGCCACTATGGAAAACAGTGTGGAGATTTCTTAAAAAGCTGGAAATAGAACTGCCATATGACCCAGCAATCCCACTTCTGGGCATACACACCAAGGAAACCAGATCTGAAAGAGACACGTGCACCCCAATGTTCATCGCAGCACTGTTTATAATAGCCAGGACATGGAAGCAACCTAGATGCCCATCAGCAGACGAATGGATGAGGAAGCTGTGGTACATATACACCATGGAATATTACTCAGCCATTAAAAAGAATTCATTTGAATCAGTTCTAATGAGATGGATGAAACTGGAGCCCATTATACAGAGCGAAGTAAGCCAGAAAGATAAAGACCATTACAGTATACTAACACATATATATGGAATTTAGAAAGATGGTAACGATAACCCTATATGCAAAACAGAAAAAGAGACTCAGATGTATAGAACAGACTTGTGGACTCTGGGAGGAGGCGAGGGTGGGATGTTTCAAGAGAACAGCATCGAAACATGTATATTATCTAGGGTGAAACAGATCACCAGCCCAGGTTGGATGCATGAGACAAGTGCTCCGACTTGGTGCACTGGAAAGACCCAGAGGGATAGAGCGGAGAGAGAGGTGGGAGGGGGGACCAGGATGGGGAATACATGTGAATCCATGGTTGATTCATGTCAATGTATGACAAAAACCACTGCAGTGATGTAGAGTGGTTAGCCTCCAACTAGTGAAAATAAATGGAAAAAATAAAATAAAATAAAATAAAAATATGCTGTGGTTTTTTTCATAGCAGTCAGCAGTGACTTGCTTATTGAGCACCTACAAAGTGCCAGAAGCTATGTCAAGCATGCATCACCCTGAGGTTTAAGATCACTCTTCCAGGAGGCAGAACAGGGATCCAAATATTATCATTAAAGAACACAAGTGACCATGGGAAAGAAATGGCTGTGACTGCTTCATTGGGCATTTGCATAACCAGCAGCACTGAGTGGCTTCCTGACAGAATCTGGATTATTCCGAGGACAAGTGGGTGGCAGGTTTTCCCCTGTGCCCATGATGGAAGTGGTGCCACCACACTGGTTTAGCTGTTGTATTCCCCGAACACCAACTATGTGCCAGACAAGTGTGGAGGTTGCAAGACCCTCCCAGGGCTTGCAGTCTAGATCGGGGAGTGTGCGGGGAGACAGACAATAAACATGTCAACAAGTAAATGGAGAGGTCAATACCTTCAAGTACTGATAAGTGCTACAAAGGAAAAAAAAGTAGGATGGTTACTACCATCTTTGAAAACAGTTTGACAATTTCTTAACAGCTTAAGTATACACACGCCATGTGGTCCAGCCATTCCATTCTAAGATTGTCACCCAAGTAGGCGTTCAATAACTATTCCCTTAATGAATAAATTAATGCATTTATTCTGCATGTCAGTTTTTTGGGTTTTGTTTTGCTTACAATTGTGGTAAAAAGAAATAAAGTTTACCATCTTAACCATTTTTAAGTGTACAGTTCCAGTTATGTAAAGTACAGGCTTCCCTGATGACTCATGGTAAAGAATGCCTGCAATGCAGGAAACCCAAGTTTGATCCCTAGGTCAGGAAGATTCTCTGGAGAAGGGAATGGCAATCCACCCCAGTATTCCTGCCTGGAGAATCCCATGGACAGAGGCTACAATGAGGTCGCAAAGAGTCAGACATGACTGAGCAACTAACACACACACACAATGTCAAATACATTCACCTTGTTGTGCCATGTCATTTCCTTTTCATCTTGAAGGTACTGAGGATAAAACTCAGATGAGACAGACAGAATTGATCAGGGACATGAAAAATTTAAACTTGACTTCCAGAAGTGTACTCCCTAAAAAATATGGCCCCAAAGCCTGTGCTTTGTGAAGGCCCACTTGTCCTTCCATAGTCAGAGTGGGTCCTGGCAGGAACTCTGGCTCCTTTGAGAACAGTTTCACTTTCCTTTGTCCCTTTGGGCTCCCTCCCCACCCCTGCTGGGTCTGCCCCACCTCCGCCTTGCCCCAGAGTGCCTCTGGCCCCAGCCGGTCAGATGAAGGCAGTGTCACTGCAGGGACATTCCAGAGATCCAGCCTTGTGCTTCATCTGGCTCCAATCTGTCTTCCCCTCCGTGCCTCACTCCATCTTTGCATCTCAGCCCGGGCTGTATTCTCCCGTGATGTGGGCAGTGGAGCTGGGTGGCTACATGTCACAGTCCTGAAACCAGACCTCCTTGGTCCCCAGCCCAGTTTCATACCAACTAGAGACATGCCTTTGGGCAAGCCCCTCAACTCCTCTTAACCTCAGTGATCTTGTGGTAAATCAGGATAAGAATGGCACCCACACCACGGCGGTTGTTATGAATATTTATTATGAGCACTTTTCACATTGTCTGCCACAAAACTGTACTTAATAAATGTCAGCTCTAATCCCAGGAATTGTTTGTTTTGCCTTTTCTCCTTACGAGGTGATCAGTTTTATTACATATCTACATGCTTGGATTAAACACCTCTAGGATCTAGGTTTATAGGAGACATCTCTTAGAAGGAAACAATATAATAACAATGTTATAATATCCAATAGCTATTGAGGAATTCCTCTTTTCTACGTACTATGCCAGTAACAATAATTAATGATAATTAACATAATGAATATCAAAACAGTAGCAAGTCCTGATCGAGTGCTGTCTGCCAGGCAATGTTCTAAATGTTTTTATATATTAACAAATCCTTATTAACAAATTCAAAATAACTATCCTTCAAGGAAGATATTATTTCCCTCATTTTACAGATCAGAAAACTGAAGCACAGAGAGGCAAAGTGACATGCTCAAGTAAAACCAGTAAGTGGACGAAGTTAGGACTCAAACTCGTTTCTCTGGTCCAGCTAGTCCTCTGGGCTCTGAATCCCAAACAATCGTGCCCAGCGTAGCCATCTGTCTGGCCTCTCTCTGAAGCTTACCAGCTCTCCGTTACTCTGGCAGATGTGCTATTCTGCTCAGGGGGCTGGACAGCTGTGTCTCCAAAAGGGACATTCAAATAGGCCAGTGGGCCCCGCGGCCCTGCAGAAGACCTCACAACCACCTGGAAAACTCCGTTCTTCATATCTGGAGGGAGTCTGTGTCTTGATAGGATCTTAGGACCCACCCAGGCAGTCTTTCAGGTTTCCACGTGGTCTCTCCCCTCCTGGAAATAAGAATAAGCACTTAGAGGGACCCAAGGGGATCCCAACAGCTTTGAATAAGTCTTCCTTACCTTTACGGCAAGTGTCAGAATCATTTTTTTCTTCAAACATGAATTAGTTCATTCATCCTCACAAGGATTCTGTGAGGTAGGTAACCGTCTTCACTTTCACTGGGGAAGGAGGGAGGAGAGACTGTGCCCTCAGGGATTAGACACCAGCTGTTGCCACATCTGCAGTTTGTACTTGGAGGTTCCCCCAAGTTCTCCTGGCTGCAGGTGGTCCCGTCAGCCCACCTGCTGGAATTTTAATTCGGCGAGATATTGCGCCCTTTGCGACACAAATCTAGATATTCTCCAGCCGCCCCCCGCCGCCCCGTAACTACCTGGGCGGTGGCGCCGGCGAGGCTCGAGCGACACTACGCCGTCTCCTAGCAACCGGGCAGTCGTCACATGACCTATTCACGTGGCCCCCCAGCCCAGCTGGGGTTGGAGCGCTAGCAGCGGGCAGCCGGCGGGGCGGGGCCGGCCAAGTTTGTTTCCCGAGTTCGGAGACCAGGAGCCCCCGCGGTTGTGGCGCAGGTGCCGTCCGGCTGGGTCGCGATGGAGCTGCCAGCCGTGAACCTGAAGGTGGCGATGGGCGGGGTGGGGGTGGCGCGGGGCGGGTCTCCCGGAGCGTGCTGGGCCTTTGCGCTTTTAAAGTAGGATTTTAGAGGTGAGAGGACCGAGAATCTGGGAAAAGTGGAGTGGTAGGGAGAAAGAGAACGAACAGAGCCCAGGTGGAAGGAGGTGGGCGGATAGACCATACCAGGGAAACGGATCCAGAAGGCCAGCAGGAAAGACCGAGAGGGAGCTGGAGGAGGGAAGCGGCCGTCTCTTCCTGGAGTCAGACCGGTTCAGCTGGGAGCGCTGAGCCCCTGAGGCTCGCTTTGGCCTGCGCGCCCAGAATTTCTCTGGAGAAAGAGGAAGGCGTGGTGGTGGGGGCGGGGGAGGGACTCACGGAGAGCCCGAGGCTGGACTTGGAGGCAGGACATGTCTCCTCCACCGAGAGAGGGGTAAAGCTTTCACCTGGACACCCAGCACTGCCCTTACCGCCTCTTTTGTTGGGAAGATCAAGTTAAGGAAATCAGATGATCCCAGACAGATGGTTTTTCAGAATTGATAGATTCAACGTCTTTATTTCTTCAGCAACACAGACACCAATAGAATTTACTCAAAAGCAGAACCCCCCAACTTTGCACATTTAGGAAAACCCTGTAGCTCGCTGGGGTGTCTTCATTTCCTGAGCTGTAAGAATGCCAAAGGCTGTTCTTCTTTTTCTCCCCACCCTCCCCCAGCCCAGTGCTTCTTGGCTGGGTTTGCCACTGAGAGGCTGAAGCCTTTAGCTTTGGTCAGAAAGGTGTTAACCTTGGACCAGACCTGCCATTTGGGGCCTGGGTACGGCTTCCTTTGAGATTGTATGCAGGAGTACCCTCTTACCCTTGACAAAGCATTATGTACCCATGGTGTCTGGTACTAAAGTAATCTAGGAGATAGATGACTACAGAACAATACATCATCCATATTTGGGTTATTAGACATGGTCTGTGCTGTGACTTCACGTGGGCACATTTCCTTAATATTGAATACTTGCTTCAGCAGACCTCTCCGAGGCTTCCAGTCAACCGCTGCTGGGGGAGTGATGGCTGTGACAAGGGAAAGGGCTTGAATTGAAGGTTTAGCAGGGAAGAAATTTACACGAGGGCAACTGAGGTTCGTTGGTATCAACATTCACTCAGTTCCAGGCCGTGTGCGGTTAATGCCGACTACCTTTTCTCTGATTAGAGATTTGCCTAAAATAATTATTAAGGGGGAAGGAGGAAAGGGACAGGGGCAGGAACTGACAAGGGAGTAAGCCTTCATTCTTGGGGCTTCTGTGGTATGCCAGGTTATTTATGTAATCGCATCAACCTTCTGAGATTTTTGTAGTTGAGCCAACTACAGCTCAGACCAGATAGGTAACTTGTCAAGGCCCCACAGAGATTGAGTGGCAGAGTCAGAATTTGAACCCGTCAGGGTCAGACTTCAAAGCTGTGTCCTTTCCTGGCCACCATTAGTTAGGGCCGACTTCAGCTTTGACAGTTTATGCCCAGTGGGAGGGCTTAGTCTGTTTTGTGGCCTTTTTTTTTTTTTTGGAGAAACTTTATGGGCCTCACAGGCCACATGTGACCACAGATGTGAGCTCTGCTGGCTTTCAGTGCCCACAGTGAAACAGCTGGTCCTTTCTTTGACTTGGGAAATAAAACACCATATCTCCAAGGGTCTTAGCTGCTACCAATCAGAGACAAGTAAGTGCTGAGAGGTCGTGAACAGCGAGGGTTGCCAGTTAACATTGAGGACATCCAGTTGAGTTTGAATTTGAGATCAACAGTGAATAAATTTTTTAATCTAAGTATGAAAAGTGAAAGTCATTCAGTCATGTCCAACTCTTTGTGACCCCAGGGACTGTACAGTCCTTGGAATTCGCCAGACCAGAATACTGGAGTGGGTAGCCATTCCCTTCTGCAGGGGATCTTCCCAACCCAGGGATCGAACCCAAGTCTCCCACATTATAGGCGGATTCTTCACCATCTGAACCACCAGGGAAGCCCCAGAATACTGGAGTGGGTAGCCTATCCCTTCTCCAGCAGATCTTATATCACAGGCAATATTTGGAACAGTCTAGAAATTATTCATTATCTGAAATTAAAGATTAACTGGGGGTTCTGTTTTTGTTGTTGTTTTTTCTGGCCTCCCACGGGAGTCTGAGTGGGATATTCTGAGATCAGAGCCCCTTGGGAGCCCAGCTCCCCTGACCCTGCACTACCCGTGCCCTCTTTCACACATTCCTGGGGCATTGGCTCAGTGCCTGCTTGTGCCCAGCCTAGCCAGAGTGGGCAGGTGAACAGAAGCAGCTGCCCCGGGCCCTCTGGGTAGTTCCTAACCCAACACCACACAAGGCAAGTCCTGAGCTGAAGGAACGTCATTGTGAGAGTTTAGAAAGTTCTAGACTTGGGTTCATGAGGCCCTTGGGAGGAGGGTGCAGGGGGGTAGTATAGCTTGAGGGTTAAGAATTCCGGAACCTGACTGCACAATAGTCATGAGGACGGCCTTGTCTCGGGGCTTCCCGGGTGGTGCAGTGGTAAAGAACCCACCTGCAATGCAGGAAACATGGGTTCAGTCCCTGGGTGTGGAAGATCCCCTGGATTAGGAAGTGGCAACACATTCCAGTATTTCTTACCTGGAGAATTCCATGGACAGAGGAACCTGGCAGATTACAGCCTGTGGGGTCACAAAGAGTTGGACACAATTGCACATGCACAGCCATGTCCCAAAGGCTGACTACCTAGCAGTTAGTGTGTTGAATGTTTCACACACCCCTCACCTCTCCATAGCCACACAACACCCCCATGGAGCATTATTGTCCCCACTTCAGAAGAGCAAGCGGCAGTTGTGAGAGCTCAGGTGATGGCCCAGAGTCACACAGCTCTAAGTCATGGAACTGGGGTCTGATCCACATACTTGGCTCTAGCAGCCACACGGTCAACCACTGCCTGCCTCTCCCTCCCCTCTCTGGCAGCCCTGACTACTGACCCCTGGGCTCAGCCCTTGGGGATCCTTGGGGATCTTGCTGCCTCATTCAATAGGCTGCTGAATGTTTGCACAGGACTAAGAAATATATTCTGAGTTTTCTTTGTTTATTTATTTTTTGTTTTGGCCACACCACACAGCTAGTGGGATCTTAGTTCCTCGACCAAGGATTGAACGTGCACCCTTGGCAGTGAAAGTAGAGTCCTAACCACTGCCCCGTCAGGAAATTCCCAGGAAAAATATATTCTGTATATTAATCTGTATGGAGGGTGATTCCCTGGTGGCCCAGGGGCTTGGACTCTGTGGTTTCACAGCTTGGGGCCCAGGTACAATCCCTGGTCAGGGAACTAAGATCCTGCAAGCCATATGGTGTGGCCAAAGGAAAAAAACAAATTCTTTATGGTGACCTCAAGTTAACCTCTCTGAATATCAGTTTCCTCACCATAAAAAGAGCATAAAAATAGACCCTACCTTCTAGGATGGTAAGAGGAGGACCCAGTGGTTCAGGAAGTGGTGTAGCTTCACAGTTTGTTGGTTTTTTATTTTAATCTTTATTTTATGTGTTTATTTATTTTTGGCTGTACTGTGTCTTTGTTGCTGTGCAGGTTTTCTCTAGTTGCAGTGAGCGGGGCCCAGTCTCTAGTTGCGGAGCATGGGCTTCTCACGGCAGTGGCTTCTCTTGTTGCAGAGCATGGACTCTAGGGTACACAGGCTTCAGTAGTTGCAGCACATGGGCTCAGTAGTTTGTGGCCCATGAGCTCGGTTGCCCTGCAGCATGTGGGATCTTCCCGGATCAAGGATTGAACCAGTATCTCCTGCATCAGCAGGTGGATTCTTTACCACTGAGCCACCAGGGAAACCCACATCACGTTTTTATTTGCAGAAAAACTCAGACCCAAGAAACTGATTCTGCTTTTTGCATCTGGGCTCTCTTGTCATACATAACTGTTTGGGCCAATGAATCTCTCACAGCCTCAGTGTCTTCATAAGTGAAATATAAGGGTTAAAACTACCCCAGACAGTCACAAGGATGACATGGGCCAAGTGTTCAGGGCAGTGTAGATATGAGGCAGGCACATCTGCATCAGTAGCAGGGGTTGCTGTAGGTGACATGGTTTCAGGATGACTGTCTGCAGAGGTTGTGGTGGTGGTTGTTCAGTCTCTCAGTCATGTCCAACTCTTTGTGACCCCATGGACTGTAGCCCACCGGGCTCCTCTCTCCATGGGATTCTCCAGGCAAGAATACTGGAGCAGGTTGCCACTTCCTTCTCCAGGGTATCTTCCTGACCCAGGGATTGAACTTGCATCTCCTGCATTGGCAGGCGGATTCTTTACCACTGAGCCCCCAGGGAGGTGCTTAAAATTATTTCGTGGAAACATCCAGTGACTGTCAGATGCCTGTCTCTTTCTGGTTGAGGTGCCCCTGTGGGACACAAGAGTAATAGATGCTGCCTCTGTGTCACCGGGGAGGAACCCAGGGCTCCAACACAAAAGGAGGTGGCCCCTGGACCAGAACTCAGGTCTCCTTCCCCCTGTCCAGCATCTTACAAGCCCCTGCTGCCATGGCCGGTCTCTCTCTCCCCTGCTCTTCTGACACATCGAACACTGGCTGGGAAAGGGCCAGGCAGCCCCACCGGGCCAGGCGCTATATGAAGAGTCCAGGAGCTCAAGTCTCTCTCCTCTTGCCCAGCCGGGAGCAGTCAGGGCGCCAGGAGCAGTCAGGCCACCAGGGCACATGCTGAGGCCCCTCTCTCCCCCATCTCTGTGGCCGTACCTGAGACTCCCCAGTATTTTCTTGGTGACCAGAAACCTCCCCCAGAGCCAGAAGACAGTTCTTTTGTGCTGAGATAAGGGCTGTGGGAGACAGCAGGGCTGGTTTGGCTGGGTTTCTTTTTCTTTTTTAATTTCTATTGAAATGTGTTGTTTAATCACTAAGTCATGTCTCTTTGTGACCCCATGGACTACAGCATGCCAGGCTCCCCTGTCCTTCACTGTCTCCTGGAATTTGCTAAGATTCATGC